AGATCACTTAGCAGGAGACGGCGCAGAGCATTGTGTGACAGCGGCATATGCTCCTTGGCAAAATGGCGCGTGTGAGCGTCTTGGTGGTGCGTGGAAGGTTGCATTTGCAAAAGCTGTGCTTGAGTTGGATCCAAGAACAAAGGAAGAAACAGAAGAGTTGTGTGATCAGTTGAATTGTGCCCATAACACCTTGACCAGGGTTGATGGGCGCTCACCGTACCAACATGTGCTTGGAGCTGATGTTCGTGTCCCGGTACTTGGCATGATTGGAGAAGACAATGAAACTGTTGATTCGGCCTTGAGGGAGAAGGAAGACAAACGCGTGAAATCACAGGCCTTGATGCAGCCACCGCAGCAGACCCAATCGAGGCCCATTTGAGATTGGTGACCAGGTCATGCTCTGGACCTTGGAGAAAATCACCAAATGAAAAGAAGCATCACTGGCATGGACCAGGTCGAGTGATTGGGGTCCAGAGTGATAAAGTTTGGGTCATGTATGGGACGAAAGTGACAGATGTGCACCTGAACAGGTGAAACATGTTGACACGGAAGTTGTTGAGCTTGCATCATGGTTGCCAGTCGTGTTGAGAACGTGGAAGAGCACGGTTCGTGAGCGTGGCGCAGGTAACTTGGCTGCGCTTGACAAAGAGAGATGTCCCCCAGAAGGTGAACAAGAAGATCGACGAGAAGGAGACAGAGAGAACTTGGTTGATCAAGAAGTTTCGGATGACCCTCCAGATGTTGAGATGGAGGATACAAATGGCAACCAGGAACTTGAAGAACAACCTGCAGGACCAGACACGTCAGATGAGAGTCAGCAGATGGAGGTTGAACAACCTGCAGACGCCCCGGCCGCCCCAAGCGAACCGGAGCAATTAGGTCAGATGTCAGTAGGTAGTGAGGAACCAAACAGTGAACCACAAACGGCCATGGACATGCAAAACGAAACGAGGAGGACCAGCGATGACAGGACTGAGGACTCCGGATATGGACCTTTGAGGACCACTGCCCTGACTCATGCCACGCGTAGGAATCTGAACAACCTTGATTTTGGAGCTCCCACTACAGGAGGAACCCCCATGACCATGAAGCCATGGAAGTTCAACATGAAAAAGGGATGCAGTGGCATGTTTTCATGACGGACGAGACAGGTAAGATGGGAAACTTTAGAGAGCATGGAAAGGGTTGAGAAGAGTAGGAAAGTGACACACAGAGAGTGAACCCCAAAAACTTGTCATCAATTCTGGTGACATGAAGGTTTACTCGGGAAAAGATGCGGGGAACCTTGAAAAGGAAGTAAGAAAAGAGAGAGTTTTGGAGTCTAGGTTTGTGTACACTTCGGACGACGGTAGCAACGAAGGAATTTTGAAAGCTAGATGGTGCGTCCGCGTATTTGGACCCAGACGTGTTGGATGTGCAAACGGCGTCTCCAACTTTGAGCAATGAAGCTTTTTCCGTTTTGTTACAAATCCTGGCCAGCTTCCGTTTGGCAACTCACCATAGCAGACATTGAAGGAGCTTTCCTTCAGGAGATGAGATCTCAAGACAGAAGGGCACAATGCTGGTGAAAATTCCAAAGGATGGAATTCCAGGACATGGTCAAGACACCTTGTCTGAATTGATCAAGCCCGTGTACGGGCTAGTTGACGCACCGAGATTGTGGTGGAACTTGTTGACAAAAGCCTTGAGAGAGATCGGGATGGTGCAGTCACAACTTGACAGCTGCTTGTTTTTCAGCAGGGAAGCCAATGGAAGGCTTGACGGAGTGACTTAGTTATCGGCGGCAGCCCTAGCTTCATGTCAGGCAAGTTCCAAAAACTCAGAGACAAATACCTATTTAAACATGTGAAACATGCTGGTGGGGAATTTTTGGGAAAGAATTTGACCCAACAGGAGGATTTATCCATTTCCATTGAGCAAAGAGAGTACGCTGAGACACTCCAGTGTATTCTGATAAGTAAGGAACGTAGAAAGGAACGACGCGCTGAAACAAACGCATAGGAAAAGACACAGATGAGAGGAGTCCTTAGCTTTTAGCTTGTTACTGGAAGTAGACCGGACTTAGCTGCTGGATGCGCACTCATGCAACAGAAGATTGCGACCTCAGTGGTGAGTGATCTGGTTGAGATCAACAAAATTGTAGCCCAGGCTCGAGATTTTTCAGCAATGAAGTTGTCTGTGAAACTAATCCCACCTGAACAGGTGGAATTTGCAGCATGGTCGGACGCTAGCTTTGCCAATGCTGCGCAGTGGAAAAGTCCAGGTGGCTACACGGTGTGTGTGCCACCGATGCTCGCTTGAGAAGAGACGAATGGGCTGAACTGTCACCTTTGAGATGGAGGAGCTATAAGCAAGATCGGCAGGTGGCATCCACATTGGGAGCTGAGTTGATGACATTGTCAAGGACCATTTCTGAGACCAAGTGGATCAGGTCAATATGGACCGAGGCAATTCAAGTCAACTGCAAGCAAGACCAATTGTGGACTTCAAGAATGCCAGTGACAGTGGCAGTTGCCTCTAGACCGGTGTTTGATCATTTGAACGGTCAGTTGATGACCATCAAGGACAAGCGCTTTGCAATCGAGATGCTCCTAGTTAAGCGAGACGTGGCCTAGGATGGTATCTCCATCAGGTGGTTGCTGACAGACCACATGCTGGTGGATGGACTCACCAAGCTGAATGCCAAGATGGACGTCCTTCGAAAAGTACTTCAACAAGGGTGGATGAAGCTCAAAGAAGACCCAGTGATCCTTCGGTGGATTGGAAAAGCCCAGAAAGGAACTTGATTGGAGCTTCGTTTTGTGTTGTTGGTGTTGGTGTGTTTTGTTTTTGTTGTTTTGAAAGAGAAGGTGGAGATCCACGATAAACAGGGCACGAAAAAGGTACACGTCTGTCCCTGTTTGTATAGATCATGGTTGCACAGTCGAAGACTGTTGGATTACCGTCGGAACCTTATGGTACAAGCCCCCCCTCAGCCGCATAGACAAAAGCCGTGATGAGCCATGATAGCGTGACCACAGAGGGACCGTCCTTGCCGGGTTCGTCAGTCTTGTTTTTCGTGACTCCATGTCGGCCACCCCAACAAGGCGTCTACGAGTATTCTCCAACGTGCGACGGTCCGGTACCACAGTCGATCGAACCGAGACACTTTAGTGTCAGAAGGTCCAGGCCTGACAATCCTATGTACACACTTGTTGCGGAAGCTCTTGTAAACCTCAAGTCGACGGTGTACCGAAGGTCAGCAGGGTCCAGGGTCATGTAGTATGTAAATTTGAATACATTGTCCTATTGTCCTCCCTATACTGCATAAGTATCCCTGCATTGAGAACAACCTCTTTGGGCCTGTCCATGTCTGTTTGTGTGTTTCAATGCGCATGCATGCACTGCCGACTTATCATGCGTAAGAACCAGCATCCGTCAATTGCAGGTATGAGGACAAAACTACATTGTTACGACTTCAAAAAATTTTAGATGGTGAGTGGTGTTTTGATGCGTTTTGGTTGCTTGCTTGCCAGGTGCTATGCCAGAAGCCAACTTGGGAGGGCTTAGCGTCCGAAAATAAAAGCGTGCAAAGGCTGAGGGCTGTGAGGGAAAATGTTTTGGTTTATTGTCACCAATATGTGCTACATGTTCACTGCTTGGCTGATTCAACTGTGTCATCATTTTTGTTTCAACAGCTCCGAAGCCATTGGATTTCAAACGTGCTTTGCAAATCTTTCCACGCGACCGTTTGGTCCATGCTGTCGGCATCAGCCCTTGTCTCATGCGTGTTCTTGTTGGCGGTGTCTGCCAGAAGACTGGAGGTGGCAGAAGGTCCTCTATCTCCAGAAACCGATTTGGACAATTGGAAGGAGTTCTTGCGCAGTGAAGATGGTGGTAACATGGGCCGTTGGAAAGCCTCCAGCGAGGCGAAAGAGATTCTCGCCACAAAGCCAGTACCAAATTTGGAAGAGATGAAGGAATGGACCAAGTACCTGTATACGCAGGGAGGTTTTGACGACCATGATGACGCAGTTTCCAAGGCTCTAGAGATTCTGCGGAAGGACCATCCGAGTTTGGAGGAATTCTCGACATGGTACATGTACCTCTACAAGACCGCTCGTCGCAAGGCGTTCCGAAAGCAATGCAACGGCTTGGCTAGCTTGAAGCGCAGCCGGCAGGACAAGTGCCTTGAGCGATGGCACAGGCGTTCAATGGTCCAGATTGCACTTGAAGCTCTTGGGCAGAAGCATCCAGCGCTGGAGGAGTTCAAAGCTTGGTTTGTCTTCATTCAAAACTCAGTGGGCAAGTGCTCTCAGATGTCCATGGACTGGGCTCTTTGGAATTATCAAGCAGGCTTATCATTGGATGAGTTCACTCTTTGGTACAACTACTTAGACTTGAAGCGTGTTAAAGACAGCTTTTCGACGACGCAGACCATCCTTCGAAAAGAACACCCTGACTTTGAAGAGTTCAAAGCTTGGTCGCAGTACTTGTCTTTGGTCGGAGAGAGCCAGCCCACAACCAGAGCCTTGGAAATTCTTGCTGTCAAGAATCACCCAGAATTGGAAGAATTCAAAGCTTGGTCGCGGTACTTGTACTCAGTTGGTGAGACGCAGACACTCACCAAGACATGGCAAATTCTTACTCAATGGCATCCGCCACTCAAGGAGGTTGAGGATATGGCCGATTCCTTCGTGAAAGTTGGTTACGATGCATACAAAGCAGCCAATTTGAGCTTGGACATTCTGTACTATGAAGATCCTCCAAGCTTCGAAACCATCAAGGCTTGGTCCGTCTATGTGGGATATGAAAAAGCCATTGATGTTCTGCTTGAGACAGAGTATCCAGCCTTTGAAGACTTGAGGAGCATGGCAGACTTCTCGATCAAATTTGGCTGGATCAGCAAGGTGAAAGCTGGCGAGAAGGTTCTTCGTTTGTTGAAAACAGATCCGGATCTAAGCTTCACGGAGTTTAAAGGCTGGTGCGATTGTATGGCTCATGTTCTACCTCGTGACAAGGCTCTCAAGAAAGTCTTTGAGATTCTCATGCAGCGAGATCACGCAAGCTTGAAGCAGTTCAAAGCCTGGTTGGACTACATGACGGATGTTGATGGTGCCAATTTGCCCAAGGAGGATGCCCTGCAGGATGTTCAAAGCCTTCTGAAGTCCAAACCAAACGCAAGCCTTCATGACTTCAAAGCCTGGCTCAAGTACTTTCGTGGTCCTCGAGCTGGCAAAGGCGGTCGAATGACGCATCAGCAGGCCTCTCAGAAGGCACTCGACGAAGTGTCGAGGGAGGGTCGCTCTCAACCACCGTAGACCGGACGTGGCGAGCCGACATGTAAGACCAGACGTGTCACGCATGTCCATTTGATGGCAAAAAAGGCAACTCTTTCTCACACGACAACTTGTTGCTCATTGCGACAGACCATGGTGCCAATGAAGGAGCGTGCTTGTTGCTCATTTCCAGTGTGTGTGTGTGGGTTTCTGTTATGTTTCAGTTGCACGGCAAGTGAAAAGGAAGATACAATCAGCGCTCAAAACTGATTACAGAAACGGAATCGCTAGTTTCCAACACAACAACGGCCAGAGTTCAACGATGGAATTCCGGTTTTCAAGCCTGTAGTATATAGACAGACTGCACGCCGCTCCCAGCCCAGACAGCACCCATGATTCCAGAATGGAATTCCGGTTTTGGAGCGCTGTGGACCAACTGCGCACCACTCCTAGCCACAGAGATTGAAACCCAACTGCATTCATTCTGCTGTTGGGAACAACACAAGAGGACTGGGAACAAGACACAAGCATCACTGCCACCATCAACAATAGCTACACGCCAGTAGGTCGCCGCGACACAAGTGTCTCAGTGCACCTATACCAAAATCTTCAGTCCAGCACTTTAGCGGGGTCCGGCGCCTGACTTCCAACTCCGGCACTTTTCAGAAGGTCCGGCAGTTTTTCCAAGTCAGGCTTTGCATTCTTTGTGGTCCGCATTTCTTGGAAGATAAGCCCACTGATGCATTGATTTCGCTTGCAAAGTTTGCTCGTTTGCCTGTTCCGCTGTAGTCACACCGGTTTCAAAGTGGCTCACAATGGCTCGATCAGATCAACAATTGCTGAGAATTGGCATTGTGTGGTGCACAAAGAAAATCGGTGAGAATGCATCTACATTGTTTCAGGATGTCAGTGCAGGGCGATGCATTGCGTAGGTTTGCAGAACCTGGTGGAGAAGTTTTGGGTTGTAAAAAAGACACGTCGTAACTCCGGCGTCATCTCACGCAACTCCGAATTTCACTTGGCTCCAGAATAATCTCCCGCGACTCTGGCCTAATGTTCCGGATTCAGTTTTCGGAAGGCTTTGAATGTTAAAAATATTTTGAAGAAGTCTTTGGACTGGAATTTCAACCATGAATTCTGCTACGTTTGTTTGGCGGCCGAGGTCCTAAAACGAAAAAGGTAACGGGTTCCATAACGGTCCCGCAGTTTTTTTGTCGTTTTGACATAAGTCTGGAAATGCTTCACCTGTGTTTTCTCAGTGTTTCCGATTTTTGTTGTCTTGATGCACGTCCCAAAAATTTGTGGTATTCTACCAATTCGGCATTGTTTTTGGAGAATTGACATCATGTTTCGATGTCTCGGCCTGCATGTTTGGGTTTGCAGCGCACTTATTTTCAGCCTTTCTTCGACAACGCTCCGGTATCCTTCCATAGCGAACCTCTATGGTTGCGACGCCACTAGAAGGCATATACATAGCTGCTTGTTCAATTTTTCTGGCCATCTTTACAAGCCAGCTCTCTCGGCATGAACAGCTTGAGGTCTCGCCACATTCGGTCGCATACTGGGGTCCCAGTCAATCGAGAACCGCAAAGCATGTGCGCATATGGATGCAACCCCGAAGAATATCCCACCGTCATTAGCCCCCGCCCACCCACCCACCCAGACACCCCTGCACAGTGCGTGTGAACTCGTCTCGGAAGTATGTCCAACATCACAGTCATGCATATACAAGTGTTCAAACCAAGGCCGTCTTGGCCAAAACAAGGGAAACCTATCCCGAACGCGCGGCCGCCCCTTTTTAGCCTTGCCTAAGCCAAATGGGTTGCCTGTCCACGAATGAATGCATACGAATGCCTGCTTGCTGGGACACTGCTTTTAAACTCCTATTATAATCTTCTATCTATCGAACTTCAAAGCACCAATCTTCCGGACTCGTGCTGCAGCATCGAACAACAATCGGCAAGCTTTCGTCCAGCCATAGGTCACTTCTTCTTCTCACGGGCTTCTGTGGTTCCTGGGTAGCATGTGCTCTCGGTCTTCTGCTCAAATCCCACTGCCTGCAAATACTTGGCCAGATCTTCGAATCGGCCGCCCCGATTCTTTCCGTGGTCACAAATCCACTTCAGATAAGGAGCACGCTTGGGGTCACTCACCAGCTCACGGTAAGATAGCTTCTCACCTGCCACCTTGGGCAATGCACAGATCGTCGAACCCCAATCCTGGAGATCAGCCACTCCAGGAGGAAGATCAATGGCCTTAGCCTTGGGCATCACAGGCATCTGACCGGCAATTTCCTTCGGGATTGCACGCTCACACATGATGGAAGAGCCATGACCATCTTCGTAGGTCACAGGCTCCCACTCATCAGCCTCCGGCTGGGCATGGTCTCGAAGTCGTTTGCACGAATCGTTCATTGAGCCAGCACTCTCCTTGCTTGCTTTGGATGAGACTCCGTACTGATTGGCACGGCTGAGGATCTCACGGGCCGCTGCAAGCTCCTCAGGAGAAACTGGAACCGAGCGGGAATCCATGTCGACTCACCCTTGGACACTTCGTGAAGGCAAATGTCTCGCCCTCGTGACTGGCTGAACCAAAATCCTTCAAGCATTGGCGGACAATGATCTGAAACACACCGTCACCGCTTGCATCATCAACCACTGCAAAAGGGAAAACATCTGATCTAAACAACTGTGCTTCCTTTTCAAGATTCTCCCAAATGAATCAAGGCGAAAGCCAAATGCACATCAAATGATTGATACAGGCTGAAGGACATGTTATATATATCGTGGATATGGCACTACGCTGCGGCTCAAGGACTTATGCATCAAATTATGGTGTCATGCTTACGAAAACTGTTTTACTCAGTGAACAACCCCCTTCACTTAAGGATACAGACTGTACGGCATGAAACCTTAACCTCTCAACCTTCGGCCTTCTCGACTTTCTGCTTCGGCCTTCTCGACTCTGAGCCACAGGACGCCTTCGATCTTTCTCCGCTGTCTTTCGGTCCATCATGAATTGCTCGTCCGCTAGTTGGTAGCGGGAGCTGCGGAGAATCGATGCTCGGCTCGGCACGATCTAGGCTTGAGTGCGTCTGCTGCCATGTGAGTAGTGGGGCACCATCTGGGTTCCAGTCTGAGTCTGGTCCTTTGGATACATTGTCGGATGATAGCAATATCTATTGCTGTTCGTTTGTCATCAAGAACCCCTCCACTTCCCAAGGACGTCAAATGATCGTACAAGGATTTGCAATCGGTGATTCCAATTGGTGATCGTTTGTTCAAAACATCTTGTGCAGATTCTAGATCAAAGGGACCATCCAAACATTCTGACAACATTAGCAGCATCCATTCACACACACCTGAGGCCGTCGAAAAAGCCTGCGCTTCGCCCGACATGGTCGAAGCTACAACCCTTGGCATACGGTATGACTTCCAGGAGAAACAATGCACTGGCACATCAACAGCTTGACGCATCTTATCTGAAGTGAAGCAAATCAACCAACCCCCCCTGTGTCTTCAGTTCTGTGCTGTTTGCAAAGGCCGCATCTGACCAGAAACATACTGTGAGTTCATCTAGTGGGATGTGTGGTACACGGATCTTCAAATCAGCTTGTTGGCGTGCTCGACGCACTGCTTGATTCACCTGGAGTAGGTCTTGAACGGTTGGTGCAGGAAAGCATTGCTGACTGATGGATGTCTGCACTGCCAAGTCTGGTCTCGACTGAGTGCTGATCCAGCTTAACGCACCGTTCACAGCTCTCAAAGCTGAAACTTCTTGCGGAGTCGCTAGGAGCCATGGTTTCCTGGCTCTTTCCTTAGAGATCTTTATCGGCTTGATATGCTCAGCATACTCCTTCTGTTGGAACTCAATTTCATGGGTCACCAGATTCTGAGTGTACGTGGTTCCCAGAAACTCCCCAGTCCCCGATCGCCACTTCCGGAACGGAAACCTTGCACGCAAATGCTGGATTGCCTTCTCATATTGTTTCCCTTCTCCCCCGGTGATGGTATCATCAACATGAGCACCTAAAATGCCTTCTAATTTGTTCTGGTCATTGTAGCAAAGGTACAGGCAATTGTCGAATTTGCTCTTGGTGAACCCGGCCTCCTGTGCAACCCTGTTGAACTCGCAATACCATTCATGAGGAGCATCATTAGCCCCATAGATATTGCCCAACACCTGTACCAGGGATCCTGATTCCACGCCCGGCACTCCCCCAGGTGGTAGTTCTGAATAAACAGGATTTGCAAGAGCCTTGTCCCGGACATCTGCCTCTAAAAATGCGCCTTTAATATCGCCCAAATGCATGACCCACTTGTTGCTAGTCAACATCTGAAGAATCAAACTTCGTCCAAATTGGGAGAGCGTGGGTGAGTGGCATCTACCAGCGAGCACCTTAGTGAACAAATCTGGGTCATGATGACCACGCAAGCACCATCGGCTTTTGATCTTTGATTATCCATCTTCATGTTTCTCAATTATCACAAACCTACTGGTCATGATACGATCTGGCTTCTGTTCTCGAATGCGTTGGGCTTCGCGTGGAGCGATGACTCGAAAGGCCTGTTTTTCATCTCTAAGTGTGGTCCATTCAGTTGTGTTGGAAGCATCTATCTTCTCCTGCAACTCGGGTGGATTCTTGGAATGATGTAGCTCTTTCTGCATCTTCTTTTGGAGGAAGCTAGCAATGAGCACTTCAGCACTTTCTGCTGGACCAAACTCGGAGATCAGTTCAGCAACGAGGCAGGTCTCATCTGCCTCTGTACGCTGGCTCTTGCTTGCTTGGCTTGATGGGTTCTCAGGAGAGTGACTTCTCTTCGTGCCATGAGCTTCGGTCAAAACTTCCTGCAAGTCTTCCATCTGTGTATTTAATGGTCGAATCAAAAAGGTCGGAGGGCTCTTTGAGGGCTGACGAACTCTGACAGGACCATACCCCGTGTTTTGCCAATATGGCTCAGACACCGGTCGAACATATGGTTCACTACCGTTCATCGTTTGTTTCTCTTCCGTTTCATGTGCGACCGAGTTCTTTGGCACATCTGGTGTCAGCTCTTCTGAAACACGATCGGGACCTACGCTGGAAGACGGCACGTTTGAAGGAACCATCCTGCGCTCACGGATCCTAAACTGTGTTTCTCCCTTCCAAGGCTCTT